TAACAATTCTCTAGAGTTTAGTTTAATTGCTCTTTACATTATCCTTCACATAGAATTCATATTTTTTCCAATTTTGCACATCAATTATATGTGTATGTGTGTGTATTTATCAAGTCTTATTTCTTCAATTATTACAAGAATAATGTAACAATTTCTTGAAGCATTTTCAGTATTGTACATATTCATTACTCCTAATTATCATCATACTTATTCCTCAACTATCATCATAATAATATAATAATTTTTTGGAGTAAAAATTACTATAAATTTTCAGTTATAATTCCAGTTATTTCGTAGGAAATAACCTTCCATTCTCTCCTTTCTCTCCCCTTCCCTTCTTTTTCTTTTCTTCAATTTCCACACGGACCCACACTATTCCATACTCAGCAGATTCCCACTGAGAACTGCTTACTCAGTTATACTGTCCTCAGGAAATTTTTTGCCGTACGAAGAAAGGCGGAAATTGCGTAGAGACGCAATATCCGCGTAGCCGTGGCTCGTCGTGAAATTTTTTCGGAGCCAGTCGCGATGAAAAAAAAAAAAAAAAAAAATAACCTTGCCCTTGCCTAGAAAAACAACGAATCCCCAAGGTGGCATGCGTTTCTACGGTGTCGGGTGCACAACGTCAGTCGATATATCGACTCATTTCCGATAATGTATTGCCACTCGAGGCGATAACACGTACAAAGCCACGCGCTTAGGTTATGTTACACACTATGGGGCACACCGAAGATACCTTCCCTCGAAAACCTATCGAATTTCTCACTTTTTCGCCTGCCCTCGCGATGCAACATTTCATGTACCGAGTTGTCTTTTGTAATTTCACATTTATACACCATTGTATTTTATGGATCGTATTTCTTTCTTCTTTGTGATATCTTCCGATATCTTGGAGTTGTTTCATAGTTTAGAATTTAGAGTTTAGAAGCACAGAGTAGTGAGTAGTACTTGCGAGTCACAAGGAATGCGATTTATTAATTTATTGATTAATTCGAATTCGTTGGTTTTTATTAGCATTGGAACCATAATACATATTTTATATTTATAATACTTACATACTATCTTTCAAAAAGTCATAGAATTTCAGAATCGGAGATTAAGTAGAAAATTGACATTTATTCGATTAAGATAAGTTGACATTCATTTAATACGTATACATTACTGATATATTAATAATTTTACTGAGACGCAATTTGAAATTCATAATTTAAAAATAAACCTCTTACAAGGCGAATTTCACTTTATTGAAGCTAATAACAAATTGCGTCTAGACAATGCTTTTAATAGTTTAAATTGTTTAAATTTAGTAATTACGTGGACTGACTTACGTTATAAGAATTGAACTCTCTGTAAGATCCATGCAGTAAGATCTGTAAGATCCACATATTTTCTATTGCTGAGTAACTGGAAGTAGAAAACAAAAGGAATTGTTGATATTCCTTGCTCAGCCCTTGTGTGTGTATCTTTGATCTACTTTCTTCATTCTTGGAATTCCTCGTTGATATCCTTGCGCTATTTTTTTTTATGGCTGGAATTCTTTTTCATTTCCTCGTAATGCTCAATTCTTGTTTACTGCTGAAATTCTTTCTTCGATGCTCTCGCATTGTTTTATACATGTACAGTTCCTTCTTCTTTCTTTCTTGTGTTCTTACACTTTTTCTTTTTATCACTGGAATTCTTCGAAGAAACGTTCTTGTTCTGAGTTTCACATTTGCAATTCCCCCTTTAAAGTTTCTACGTAGCCCACTTTTATCGCTGAAATTCTTGTTAGCATTCTTTTACTGTTATTTCTACGTTTAGAATTCCTTTTTTAATTTCAGTTCTTTATTCATCACTGAAATCTTATTTTTCATGTCTTTATTATTTCTTATTTATTCTTTGTAGTAAAATTTATTCATTTAATTTTTTTACTATTCTTTTATCAAATTTATTCTTTCAATTGATTATCTATTAATAATTAATCTATTCTTTCCTATCATTCATCAAAATTTTGTTATCCTTTTTTTTTTTTATTCTTGCATTCTTTTTATTTCTTTTATTTCTCTTCCTTCAAAGATATAAATTATAAAAATCTAT